GAAACCAATCAAGTAGAACAAAATGCACAATATTTTACCCAGTTTTATAAATTGGACGATATTACTGCGGAAATGGACCTATGGTATAATTTGTGGAAGGAAAAAAAGTCAACTGAGGACCAGCTAAAAGACGTCGAAATAACTGACCTTCTCGACGAGACCGATGTTTTTTATCCCATCCTAAAACAGGCACTTTTGATTTTAATCACAATTCCATGCACCACGGCCACTGTAGAACGATCCTTCAGTACTCTTCGAAGAGTGAAGACTTGGTTGAGAAGTACCATGGGAGAGGAAAGGTTAACAGGATTATGTCTCATGAGTGTGCATCGTGATTTAATTAAATCAAATCGAGAGCAATTTGAAAATCAAGTTTTAAATAAATTTGCGACAAATCCAAGAAAATTGTTATTGAAGTAAAAATTAAGCGAGTTATGTCAAAATTTAGTAATTAAAAAGAGAAATGCAAAATCCATTGTTTTTTTTTTTGGTCAGCCCCCCCCCCCCTATTTCAGATCCTGGGTACGCCCTTGGACGTGACCTTGGAAATAATTTGCAAAATAAACTAAGCGGCAGATGAAGTGGGACACCCAAAAAATTGCCTAATTTTGACTTGCTATAACTTCGACATTTCTTTGCCGATCTTTGATTATCAGGCAGGGTTACAAAGCACCATCTTTGGTCTATGCGTCAGTGTCGTCGTAGATTTTTTAAAAAAATTCCTTCTCGTTATACAGGGTGTGAATGTAAGGCGGCGAAAAATTTCCATTTTTTGGCGAAGAATATGGGAAAGATGGAGGGTCCAATAAAGTTCTTTCTAGTGGTGACTCGATGACTAGGTCAACACCTCGAGACGTCTTTACCATTTTTTCGATACATCGCGTTGCTATGGAAATATGACCATTTTATGGTATTTCGTTTTTCTCTTGAAATTAACGATTCTTTAATTGAACAATAACAGATTCCGTTTAAATTGCATCATGGAATGACTTGTATAGAAAATAGTCAACACCAGTGGCGTGCAAAAGGGGGATTATGAAATTAAAATAAAAAAAAATTGATTTTATCTGAAATTTTTAAGTTTTGTTGAGCTTTCAAATTTAACGCCCAAATGAACCGTAAGGACTCAATTCAGATTAGTTGTTGGAATCAGGTTAGGACTTCTCTTTTATATGCAAATTTTCCAACAAAGCGAGAATAAACTCCCAAGTCCATACGATGCATATGGGTGTGAAAGGTGTTATAAATAACTCTGATATGGTGTCATTTTGGTTCTCCTCTAGCCTGAATAACTGCGTGACACCGCCTTGGCACGCTCGAAACTATTCGGTTGATTAGCTCTATAGTAACTGACTCCCAGAGCTCCAGAATCATCTCCTCGAGATCGTCTAGAGCTTCTGGCTGACGTTCTCCCCGGGAAAGCTCTAACTTCATTCAGCTCCAGACGTGCTCAATTGGATTCATGTCTAAGGATCTGGGAGGCAATTCGGTACGATTGAACTTTTGCCCTTGCAGATACCGGTTCACTAATAATGCTCGATGAGACTGAGCATTATCGTCTGCAAGAACAAAATCCCCGCCATAATTTCGAGCATGTCGGAGAACTTGCGGAATCTAACATTTATCCAGGGACACTTGGCCGTTAACGTTGCCCCGAAATACCACGATACGACGAGTTCTGTTTTTCCGATGTGTTAGATACCGACCCAAACTGTCAATCCTCCACCGCCAAATGCAACTTGAGGACACATGTTTTCTTCTAAAAAACGTTCTCCCCATCTCCGTCAGGTTAGCAATCGGCCGTCAGAATTGTAGAGGTTAAAACGGCATCCATCAACGAAAAGACAGTCTCTCCACCTTAAATCCCAATAATTCAGGTATTCCTGGGCCCATCTTTTTCTGTTCCCCCGGTGAATGTTTGTAAAAAGTGAGCACTTTGCCCGACGGGATGAGAATTTAATCCCTGGTCATGTAGGCGCCTTCTAATGGTCTCTGCTGAAACATTCAACTGCAGATGCGTTAGGATTCTCTTGACAGTCCAAACTCTATTTTCAATTGCAGTACGTACTACTAGTCGATCCTGACGAGGATTTATTCTTTTTTGAGATCCTCCACCGTGTCGGTGAGCAGCAGTACCGTTGACAGGTCTGTTCACACGTTAACATTAAATAACATGAAAAATACTGTTTTTTTTTTCACTAAACGCTTCTGAATATCAAAATCAAATTCATCACAGTTATTTATAACACCTTTTTAACTGTAACGCTCAACAAAACCGTTAAAATTTTCAAATAAATCCATTTTTTTTTTTTTAAATTTCATAAATTCCCTTTTGCACGTCACTGCTGTTGAGTACTTTCTATACAAGTCATTCCATGATGCAATTTGAACGGAATCTGTTATTGTTCAATTAAAGAATCGCTAATTTCAAGAGAAAAATGAAATACCATAAAATGGCCATATTTCCATAGCAACGCGATGTATTGAAAAAATGGCAAAGACGTCTCGAGGTGTTGACCTAGTGATCGAGTCACCACTAGAAAGAACTCTATTGGACCCTCCATCTTTCCCATATTCTTCGCCAAAAAATGGAAATTTTTCGCCTCCTTACATTCACACCCTGTATAACGAGAAGGAATTTTTTAAAAAAATCTTCGACGACACTGACGCATAGACCAAAGATGGCGCTTTGTAACCCTGACTGATAATCCAAGATCGGCAAAGAAATGTCGAAGTTATAGCAAGTCAAAATTAGGCAATTTTTCGGGTGTCCCACTTCACCTGCTGCTTAGTTTAGATGACAATACAGTTTGCCATAAGACGAGCTCTAAAATTTGACTTCCAATTCAAATTGGAATTGAATGTAAACGTAGCTTAAGGCTGCCGATTTCCCTGCTTGTTTTTTTGACAAAATTGATGAAATTGACAAAAAAAAAAAGTGAGAGCTGATTTTTTTCTAAGGCCAATTTACACTATTATTCCGTACCATAAAATCTTTTGCTTCAGAAATTGAGGGTTGAAAATAAAATTGTGTACAAACCTCGACGGAAAAATTCATTGCTGTCTCGAGGTTCAGTTTATTTCGACGCTAAGCGTCACGATAAACTATATAACTTCTTGACCAGCAATGAAGCATTTTCCGTCTGGGATTGTAATATACTATTCTATGCCTGACTATATCAGAATCTATCAGGCAAAACAATTATCCACTCTTGTCACATCCAAAAACTTTAAATTGACCAACAACCCAAAATTAAAAACAAAAAAGGTTAGAGAAGAAAATAAGTCAAATTGCAAGGTGTAAATCGATGTGCTAGAAATCTTGAATTCAAAAGTTTTCTTGCAAGCTGTGAAACGACCTTAAGGGGGTTTTAAAGTCTGTTTTTTTTTTAAAGATAAAAGTCAAAATGACATTATGTTGGCAATACAATGTAAAATTGTCAATGCTTTCAAATTTTTTATGTAGAAAAGGCTTGTGTTGCCAACATAGTTACTAAAGTTTTGACTTGGGAAATTATCTTTAAAAAAAAACAGACTTTACATACTGCAATAAATCTTGCAGTTAGACAGTGCGAGTGAAAGTTACTGCAAGATTAATTGCGGTTTGGTTTTACATGTGTTTTAAAATCCTTAAATTGCTTTCTTCTGCCAACATAAAAAAATATATAGGTAAACAAAACCTTACTTTTCAATATTCTTGTTGGTGTTGGTATTTGTTGTATGTACAGGGTGCTGCAATTTGGAGTGTTTCAACAGGAAAAACGTACTTCCAGACCAGATAGAGGAAAATTGACTTAGATGTCATGGGATCGATTTTCGAGAAACGTCGATTGTCAAAAACCGTATCGCGATATCTTCAATGGTTCTATTAATACAGGGCGATTTTCGATTTTCCCCTATTATGAAAAATGGCTATAAGTTTTTTATTTATCAATTTTTTTCATTTCTGTAAAAACATTATGGAGACACTTTTTCAAGCACAATCAAGTGGCGGCCTCGGGTTTTTTCTATATCACTCCGATTTCGAGATATCGACCAAATTCCGATATTTTCAAATGAAACTCCCTATATATTAATAGCTCATTGGATAGCTCTGTTTTTGCTTATTTCAATGATAGAAAGTTCGATAGGGTTATCTCTAACAGTTTTCGAGAAAAAAAATTATATCTGTTTTTGTCGTAAGGACCAATGTGTTAGAAAAGGATTTTGTATGTGTAAGGAAAGTGAGAAAGGTCTCTTTCTAACACATTGTTTCTTATGCCTGAAACAGATATAATTTTTTTTCTGGAAAACTGTTAGAGATAAACCTATCGAACTTTATATCATTGAAATCTTCAAAAACAGAGCTATCCAATGAGCTATTAATATAAAGGATGCTTCATTTGAAAATATCGGAATTTGGTCGATATCTCGAAATCGGAGCGATATAGATGTTTTTACAGAAATGTAAAAAATTGATAAATAAAAAACTTATAGCCATTTTTCATAATAGGGGAAATCGAAAATTGCCCTGTATTAATGGTATCATTGAAGATATCGCGATACGGTTTTTGACAATCGACGTTTCTCGAAAATCGATCCCATGACATCTAAATCAATTTTCCTCTATCTGGTCTGGAAGTATGTTTTTCCTGTTGAAACACTCCAAATTGCAGCACCCTGTACATACCCAATATCGCTCAAAAATTAAAAATCTAAATCTCAAACTTACCGAACAAGAACAAAATAATACAGTATTTAAAGCTGAACTTGAGCATCACAAAGCTCTTTTAGTCGAAAGTGATGCCCAAACGGCTTCAAACCTAAATAAGATTCAATTACAAGACCAAACTATATCTGAATTAAAATTAAAGTCTGATACTCTCGAAAACCAAATACAAAATTTAACAGTTAATTATAGAAACCTACAAAGGCAACTTGAGTAGGCAATTGGCACAATCAAAGTCCGCAATACTCAAAATGAAAAACTAAAAAATTCACTAAAAATAACAATTCTAAAGATCAAATTCAAAATTCTAAAGATCAAAATCAAAGCCAAAAGATTTTTAAAAAAAGCAACAACAAAAGAGCAAGACAAGGGCCGTTGACCTCATCGGAAGATGAAATCGAAATTGCCCCTGTCACTTCAGAAACAGTGGATATCGAAGTTGAAATCCATGCACCACCTTCCGCCCAAAAAAATAATAATAATCATGACATAGACTCAGACAGCGGAGCAGAATCTCAATATCTGCACCCGCGCGGCGACTTCCCCGCACTCAAAAAAAAACAATACAAACCCCTTAAACATGCCAGAAAATCACTTAAAAATTAATCAAGCCCCAAGAACCTCAAACAACGCCTCACAACAATCCCCAAGCATACCCAAAACTATAAAAATTCCTCCGATTGTAATCAGAGAGCCTAAGAATTGGTTGGCGATTCATCAACTCCTCACCGACAACTAAACTGCTGGACAATTGCTTTCGAACAAGGTAAATATCGCCTAACTTTCAAGCTCGATATTTTTGGAACCAGACTAGATATCGACCTGCGGTTTTCACGGGCTGACAGATTGACTTTTTGTGAAAAAAATTGCTATTTTGAAATTTTTTTAAGTGTCTACTTTTTTTTATACAGGGTGTTGAAAGAGTCCATGATTTTCATCCCAATTTTGAATGTGTGTAACTTTCTCAGATAATTTTTTAAATTTTATTTCTATGCGGCGTTTTAATCAATGATCTTCTGCAAAAAAAGTAATTTCTCAAATTTTTTATACCTGCCTTAGTTTTAAAAATATCGATTTTTTTTCATAACCTCCACTTTTTTCAACTTTTGAGCATCTGAACCATCCTGTACAATAAATCTTGCATCTTATGCTGCTGTTTGATATACCCCACGATATCCTGGTTTATTTTCAATGAAAAAAAAAATTCTTAAATAATGTTGTGTCCAGTAGCGTACTAATAATCGCCCATTTTCGGAATTATTTATTATTGGCTCACCGAATTTTACATTCAAAGGTGCATAATTTTAAAAATAATCATTTGAAGTTTCATTTGTTTAGTTCACTTTAATCATTGACATATTATTAAGAAACCACTTTCTCAAAATTTTGATATTTGCCTTTGTTTTTAAAATATTGTTTATTTAACATAACCATATTAATTTTTTCAACTTTTCCGTTCTAAACCATCCCGAATCGTTCTCACCGGTGAATTTTTTTAGCAATTGCCATATCTTTCAGCCAGCGTATTTACTGTGATTAAAAATATCGAATACCTCAATGATATGCTGTACAGTGGCGTGCAAAGAGAAATTATTTTGTTTTCATTAAATCAATTTTATTAGCAATTGTTATATCTTTCGATTAGCTTATTTTTATGATTAAAAATTTCGAATACCTCAATGATATGCTGTACAGTGGCGTGCTAATAATTATTTATACCACTGATAAAATTTAAATATTCAACCGATTTTTTGTGGTGAGAGGAAACGAACTTTTATTACCTGCTAATTTTCTTTGTAATTTCATGTTTAAAGGTATTTCAATTAAAATTCTTGATTTAAATTTTTAAATTTAATTAAAAACGAGCAAACAAAGCATGCTTATATAAAGCTTTTACTTACATCTTCCATCATCTTTAAATCAATATCAGAACCAAATACATGTATTGTTGCCACATAGACCTTTCTGAAGTTATACTCTTCAATTATTATTCTCCAATTTTGTTGTGATAGCTAGTAGGTAAAATATTTTCTTGGTTTTGAAATGCCAGCCAAACAAGCCTATAGGCACACCGCTAATCTTTATAGAAAAAAAGCAAAACTTTTGATTGAGAAACTTGCTCACAGTCACAATCAAAGATAATCCTACTCGGAGTAGGATTACCTTTGCCACAATGCATAATGATCCATCCAAAAATTAACACACACAGCACAGCACCAAAAATAAATTAGAATAAAATAATTTCAACTGTTTCCAACAGTGAATTCAAATTAAAATAAATAAACACATTAGGTTATGTTATCGTCGTCTTTAGTAATTTTAAAGGAACTAAAATTGAGGTCGGATCCCAACGTCTCAGTATGGTCCAAATTGATGGTATCTCCGACTTTAAGGTTGTGCTTCGTGATTTTAGGTGGTGATTTCTTTTCCTTTGGTTAAATTAAGTAAATATTAGTTCAACTACCAACTCCGCCATATTTTAAGCCTATAGTCGCAGAGACGAGGTCTTAACTGAGACAAAATTTGAGTAACAGGCTGAAAATTTCATATATTATGGTTTTCAATATTCTAAATCGATCTACGCATGAATTTTAACTATTAGTCCCCTGCTTAAGGGTGAAAAAAATATTTAAGGGTTGAAATACGAATATTATGCAAACGAATGAGAAATCGGGAAAAAATTCAAAATAAATGTAGGAGCTTGTGAAATTTCGCGTAAAAAACGTTTGAAGTTTTTCTCTCTATCATTTATCGTTAATCCATTAGCTAATTTCAAAGTTTCGCTACCGACCAAAATGGGAGAGGCCCGCAGGGGCGCCACTGACGATGCCGCGCTCGGCAAATGTATAACGTAATAAACTTTGGTGATACTCGGTCATTCTTCCATCGACTTTTTTTGTCGGGATTCGAATAATTGGGACAGGTAAAAATTATGAAAAATAAATTCAAGTGACAAAACACGTTTTTACTTAATAAAAAATTTGTTTCGTTATATTACCTATTCGTTATTTATATTCGCGTTTCTATTAATTAAAAAATTTGCTTCGTTATATTATTCGTAATCTATATTCGCGTTTCTATTAATTAAGTTTTGAAAGTAAAAAGGCGATGATAAAATAGACATAATTAAGAATAATTGATAATATTTATAATTATTCATTCAAAAACAAATAAACGAAAAAAAATCATTTCAATCTAACATTGTTAATTCTTCAGACAGGAATGGGATAAGATATACCTACGTGAGTTTTTAGATAGGTAATCTAGTTCTCTATAATTTATGTTAAATAAATATTCAGGAGATTTCACTCATTTTGTCTTGCGATTTTTATTTTTCTGCATTAGGTAAAAAATACAGCTTTTTTTTCAAAATTTTCAATTGCACATTAAATCGGTTCCATCAAAATAGTTGCCATAATGGGCCACTTTCACATTTTTCGAAAACATATTTAAATTATTCTTTTAGTCATTTTAATACTATCTGTATACTTTTTTCCGAAAAAAAAAACGCTTATTTTTGAAAAAAAAAAAATATTTAAAAAGCGAATTTTTAAACTTGGTTTGTGACGTCACAAACCAGAAAATCAACAAAAATGCAAGGATGCCAAATTTCTCATTAGTAAATCATTACACATTTCACTAGCTAGAGACTATTTTCGTCCTTTACTACGTTATAAAAAAATAAAGGATAGGATAATCCTTATTAACTCATTTTAATTTCGCATTTCTACATGTGGCAACAAAAAAGTCAACATCGGCTTCAGCCAATCACAGAGCGTTTTCAATCACGTGATTTTTCGTTTAAATTTTTAATTTGTATTTATTAATTTATTTGATAATCTGACTAAAATCTTGCAAAATATTGTTCATTCTCGGTTACATTGATGTATCTGCGTCAAAAAACATCATAATTTGCCATATTCCCGGCACGTGAAAGTGGCCCATTGAGCATTTCATCGTCTTCATTCATCGTATCAACCTCTTTATCTACTTCATCCAGGGCAGTGGACACTTCGTTAGTAACAGCCTCCTCTATGTCATTCTCTTCCAAGGAAGGCTTTATGATGGAAGCATTGTTACAAGACCATTGCAGTTTTTACACAGTTGAGAAACATCGCATTCCAGCTTTAACGTACCCGCACTGTGAGTTAGCACAGTCTGTTGTGCAGCCACAAGAAATCTGTCGACAGAAAAAATATAAATCATTGCCCAGGGGTGCAAATCGCGATGCCACCCAAACAGTGGAACGTATATTGGCCATCTAACGTGCAGCCATTATGATCCGTGCTATCGAATACGTGCTGAATATGGACCCCATCTTCAATAGTCATTTTAGGTGGATTTTATATCAGAGACGTTTCGTATTGTTGCAAATGGTGATATGACACAGAGACACCCATTTGATCTAACACATCGATAATTTGCCCTTGAGCCAGTCTTCCTATAAATATAAGTACCAACTGCTAACTGCAATATTGAAATGAATGTGCGAGAACAAATCGCTGAAATTATGGAATGTGAAATAATTTTCTCTTCACAAGATAATCATCACTTTGTGCGTTTTCAATCAATGCACTAAGGAAATATCGGAGTGAATAGGAACGTCCTTATCAATGTCATCAAGAAATTGCTTAGCTGGTGGAAAACTCTCTACATTATATTGCTTGGCCTTTATGTCTGTCTTAAGTAACCGAGCCGCAGTTTTGAGAACTACCTCTTTCTCATATTCATCATAGTCTTTATCCCAATAAAATTTGTTACACATACTCCCTATATTGAAATATTTGTAATAAATAATTGTTGGTTTCTGTTGCTGCTGACGAATATAAATCTTTTTGCCATATTTATTGTGTAACATTTTATAGAGTCCTTCTGTCAAAGCAGTTTCGTTTCATTACGTTTTGTAATTCTGGAAGAGTAAATTCAAATTGTCCCACTTTCTTCAATGTAATTACAAACAAAGTCGAATTATTTTTTGTTTAAAGCAGTCGCAGGGGATGGGGCACTTGCAGTTTGGTTCGCTTCAAAAAATATAAATAACATTTCGAGTGATACCTGGCTTGTACGTCGACCAAGGAGGTGATTCCATCAAGCCTGTGTAGGACTGTTGCTGCTAAACTATCATCTCGAGTAGTAGCTGCATCCAATATTTTATCCAGAATGAAATTCTGTGTTACTGACCTCCATTGATTTTGGTTTTGTTTTGTATTGCAATCACCACCACAAAGAAAACATAATTTGACGAAATCAAAATCTTTCGCATCCTGAGGTGCGACTGATGGCGTGTTGGTTAGAAGCTTAGACCGAAGATTTTCTGATGCTCGAATTGCAGTTGAGGGTGCTGTTGAGATGTCAGGGGTGTAAGATGTCCCCGGAGATGATATTGTGGAGTCATTCGTACATATTGTTGATTTAGCTACAGGCGAAGTCAAATAGCGCAATCGACAAGAAGTGTGAGAGAGCAGTTCTGTTAAGCCAGTCCAATGCATCCATTTATCATCACTTTTCGATTTACTCTTTTCAATTAGCGTTACCAAACCTTTTGTCTTGACGATTACTTAATCCTTTTGATTATTCACAGGACCATTGCAGAAAGGACATGATTC